CCTCAACTGGCTCCTCTCGACGTGGAGGAGCAGCGGCTCTACTCTGAGTCCCTCCCGGATGACCGAGCTTCTCACCCTATCTCTAAGGGAGAGCCCAACCACCCAGTGGAGGAAACCCATTTCGGCCGCTTGTATCCGGAACTATTTATCTTCCTATGGCTTCATAATATAACCGCGGTCACCCACACGCTGCTTACAAAATTTACGGAAGTTTCCGAAATTTACGTAGCGTAAAAAAAAAATAAAAAAAACAACCCTCGTCAAATTCAAGATTTGGCAGGGTTCCTTGAGGGCGCCCTGAAAAGGTGTTGGAAAACCAAAGATGCTCCTTTAGCTAAATGTCTGTTCATGGATTTTATGCTGCTGAGGTTAGAGACCATGCACCTGGAAAATACCTGACGCCAGAGTTCACTCCTGCCTATGCTAAGGAGTAGAAAAGAGGAAGACATAAAGAAAACAAACAAGCAGGCAAATGAAAAGTATCAACCTCATTTTAATTTATTGTGCGATTAAATGTTTTATTGCTTAAGTCTGAACTAGAATACACTAAGAAATGTTTCTCTGAACAAACGAGGCTTCATGTTGGCTGATTTTTTCTGGCTGATGTTGGTTCTCATACCAAAGGGAACCATTTGCCCAAATGACCCATTGGATCCGGATCAAAATAGCATCTTTCCAAACATATTCACTTTCCAGAAGCCAGACATCTCTTTTCCACCTCAATGTTTCTTCGGTGCTTGCTCATCTTCTTGCTTCACTTAACCAGGAGGAACACGGCGTCCTTCCAAGAAACTGGGTTTACGCATCCATTGGTTGATTCCTCAAAGTTTGTAAGCATATTCAGCATAGGTGACAGCAAATCGTGCGCAAAAATTTCTTTACCCATTGCCAAGTTGCTGTCTGCTTTTCGTTAAGTTGGATTGGAGATTTGTTTTATGGGAAATTTAAAAAAGCTTTAGTCAGATTATGAGGAACTTGGCAGATGAGGAAGATGTTTGATTTCAGTTCAAGTCACGTGTTGAGTTGTCTTTGTGTGTCACTGCAGTAGAGTWATTGCTGGTTTTTGCCATCTTTTCTTTTCCTTTGCTAAGAGTGACTAATCACATAATCAGCTTCAGACAAACTTTAATTTAATACACCAGTTTTTTACATCGGTGAGGCTGGTTCTGTCGAGCAAAGCTAAAAAGTTATTTTATACACAAATATAAAGATGTTTTTATGAATTTGTCACAGTGTGTCTAGATTTATGTGGCTCCCCCCTTTGAATCACGGCGCTTTCCTCCATGGAATTTGGTAAACTGAATGATGCTGCGTTTCGCTCAGCACTCAGGCATTTCCTCTGAAATCATCGGAAGAGATCGGACCCAAAGTGTGTTTAGACTCCCTGCACCCCCCCACCCCCCACCACCACCCACCATGAAATATAACAATCCCTTTTGTAGACTTGAGACATTGAAATCTCTTATGTATGTGTGGTTACTTTGTTTGTACATGTCCCGCCTCAACATTTGTTGCCTGGGAATTTGTGAATTAGGAAAATATGTAAAAGATGTAATCAGTTGTAATTAGGCACACGCTGCTTTAATGCTAAGAAAATGACTAAAGTGCCGTGTTTGTCTTGAATGTGCAAAGGAAGTCATTAATCAGAGTCACCTAAAGACAGCTAGCCTTTTGTATCAGTCATGAAAGTAAACACATGACATAACTCATTCCATAGTTTTAGAGCTGTTGATGCACTTGCGAGCGGTCCAGGATGTACCCCACCTCTTAGATAATGACCGTTTGGGTTAGGCACCAGCTCCCCCATGACTCAGAAAGAAAGTGTTTAAATGTAAAAAATAAAATACATAAAAATTGTAGAGCTGTGATTTTTCATTATGAAAACATCTAGTCAGAAGTTCTACATTTGCTGCCAGCAGTTATGATATATTCTTGAAACCAGTCTAAAACATTTTGTTCTGGCCAGAGACTTTCATCTCTTTCATGTAAGATATAAATATTTTTTGGGGCTATGTCTCTGTTAGAGCTAATAGAGCTAMTGACAAAGGTAATAAGACATGCAGTGGTGGGCACAGTTCCCCTAAGGCACTAAAGCACTAATAGGGGAACTAATTTCCTGATTAGAGCTTTAAGGATTTTGCTAATTTTAAAATTTATTTGTGGATTAGCACTTGCTAAATTCAGAAGCACTAACTGAGGTCTATAAAYGTTATTGATCAATGTTAGTGTTAACAGCTGACGGTGAAAGCTGTCACACATTTTGTTCATATGTGTGTCTCTTMTCCACCAGGTGACAATATATGAACYCAAATACAGCTGTRGAATGTCAATGATAAGTCTTAAGAGAGCAACATGTCAATACGTGACTCATGTTGTCTGTTGAAGCATGTTCTTGGGTTGACTGGTTTATTTTAGTGCTTTAGAATTAGCTTTTGCTAAATTTTCAGTGCATTAGTGCTTTAGAATTAGCTTTTGCTAAATTTTCAGTGCATTAGTGCTTTAGAATTAGCTTTTGCTAAATTTTCAGTGCATTAGTGCTTTTGAATTAGGGGCCCTAAATATCTGAGTTAGTGTTTTAGGGCTAGTGGAACTAATTTTTAGATTAGTGTTGCCCACCACTGACGACATGCAATATCCTCCTGTATTTTGAATGTCAGGAAACTACATAAACTTTTTTCAACTTTTCAAGTTTCTTCTTATTCTTTTTTTTATCTGTTACATCTGCACCTAAATTCACATTAGGTGAGTAACAAC